CTATCTATCTATCTATCTATCTATCTATCTATCTATCTATCTATCTATCTATCTATCACTATACATCTATATACGCTATCTATCATCTCAATCTACAGCATCACCTCTCTCTCTCTCTTTCTCTCTCTCTCCTTGAAATGAAATTTTAACCTTGAAGTCTGTCCTATTCTAGGTCTTTGCCTCCCCCACCCCCTCAAAGGGGTGGGGATTACTGCCTTCCTCTTCGTATCCGGAAGTCCCCCTCCCTAAGCAAGCAGCAACCTGAGATGTTAATGAGTAGGTAGAGCAATTTGCTGCACGTACCGTATGCCAATCTGCCAATGTAAGTGACATATTGCTGTCATTTTACAGCAGGTAATTACGGTGTGACTCATCTGTTTTATGGCATAGAAACTTAGCTGTGTCCTTCCCGTGGTCCCTACAAGCAGCTCTACTTCCTGAAATTCTTCTTTTCTCCCCCTTCTCCCCACTTCCCACTGGTAGCTCTTGCTGTTTTGCCTGATTATCTCGGAGCCTTTCGGCTTTCCCATCCCCTGTCCCGGTACAGAGACCTGTTCCAGGATGTTTTTAACTGGAGTGGTTGGTTGGTTGGTTGGTTGGTTTTTAAAAAAAATCTCCCTTTAAAGTTGTCTTCCTTGTTTTGCATCTTCTCCATCTCTTTTTCTCCCTCTTTCCACACTCTCAAACTTGTCAATCAAGCTGTTTGCCTTTGGGAGAGCCACTGGCAGCCAGTTATTGAAAAAGATTGCAACCTCACTTTAGTCCAGTTTTGCAAAATGAGGGTGCTTTTATTCATGTATTGTTTGTTCTCTCTTTTTTCTTCATTCCTTCTTCCCTCCCTCGCTTTCTCTCTCTTTTCTTCTTCCCTCCCTCCCCCTCTCTTTCTTTCTTTCCTTCTTTCTTCCTTCCTTCTGCCCTCTCTCATTCTCTCTCTCTTTTCTTCTTTCCTGCCTCCCCCTCTCTTTCCTCCTTTCTTTCTTTCTTTCTTCCTTCCTTCCTTCCCTCCTTCCTTCCTTCCTGTCTATCTATCTTTATCTTAGTTATCACCTTTCTTCCTTCTTTCCTTCTTCCCTCCCTCGCTTTCTCTCTTATTTCTTCTTCCCTTCCTCCCCCTCTCTTTTTCTTCCTTCCTTCCTTCCTTCCTTCCTTCCTTCCTTCCTCCCTCGCTTTCTCTCTTTTCTTCTTCCCCCCCTCTCTTTCTTTCCTTTTTTCTTTATTCCTTCCTTCCAATTCCTGTCTATCTATCTTTATCTTAGTTATCATCTTTACTTCTTTCTTTCTCCTTCCTTCCTTCCTCTCTCCCTCTGTCTCCCTCTCTCATGTGCCCTTCCTTCCTTCCTTCCTTCCTTCCTTCCTTCCTTCCTTCCTTCCTTCCTTCCTTCNATCGGCTTCTCGGGTGCGCTCGCGCTCCCTCCTACCCGGCCGGCGATTGGCGGCGGCGGCGGCCGGAGTGGGCGGGGCGCCGCGTGGTGTCGCGTCTCCTCGGGTTGCCGGCTCAGAAGGGCCGGGAGAGGCATCCCGGTCGGTCGGTGGCTGAGGGGGTCGCTGTATGCGCGGCCATGTCGACCCTTTTCTACCTCCTCTCCACGCTGGCCGGCTATCTCCTCACCTCGGCTCTGCTGTTGAAATTCCCCGGCTTGCTCCACCGGCGCAAACGCCACCGATTCCGGTGCCGGCACATCTCCCACCGCGGAGGTGAGAGCAACGCCTGCGCGGAGCGTCTTTTTGGGGGGTGGGTGGGGGGCATCATCCTTCATTTTGGGGTGTCCTTTCTCTCTCCCATTCATCCCCTGCAGAGGATTTGGGCATCTTGAATTTCCAAGCTTCAATTCTTTGTTTTTTTAAAGAAATAAAAATCCAATTGGATGATTTAGCCTCCTAAGAGTCCCTGCAAATGAATGGGCGGCCATGTCAATTCTCCAAATAAATATATAAAAATAAAAATAACAATAATAATAATTATTATTATTTTCATTAAATATGAAACTCAGTCAACTAAATATTTAAAAATGTGTCAAACACCATTGACTGGTGCTAATGGTTGATACGACGTCCTAGGTATCAACCAAGTATTTTCTTAAAATATATTATTATTACTACTATTATTATTTTCATTATCATCATTTTATTATTATTATTGTTGTCCATTGTACAGCCTGCCAGATCCAGATCTTTAGACTGGATTTGGCTTTTCTTTTTTAAATCCACCTATCGAGTCCCTCCCAAGAACCTCTGGCTGTTATTAGGATGATTACATAGTAGGGTATTTTTTTTTAAAAAAAATATGCTTGGTCCATTGAAAGAAATACATGTTTTGGAGCGTATTTTATCTATTTTATTTACCCTTTGCATTTCAATAGTTTTTAAATAGGATTGGGATCATTTATTTAAAAAAAATGCAGTTGGATGAGGATTTGGATGGTTTGTTAATAGCGTTTGGGTTGTATTTAGATCATTTTTAAAGGGCCGAATTCAGATAGTTTCGCAATAGTAGCTGGAATGCGTGCTTCTATAAACCAGATGATTAACAATCTGCTTTTTTTGCAGGGGGAGGGAGGCATGGGATTTCATAGTATTTATCATTTTCTCTACAGACCCTCCCACCAGATCAAAACGATCCTTTCTGGGGACAATGAGACGGGCAGCATATACATTTGACAAATAACGAATCTTTTCTTAAACAGGATGGGGTTTTTGTTTTAGAAAAGGCTGGCTTCGGCAGACCATAATAATCCGATATTCAGTGCCTGTTGGGGAAGTGAGTCGAGCCGGCAGGATGTGAGCTTTCAGCCTGTGAAAAGACATCATTTGTGCAAAGGAGCGAAGCCAGGAGAATATAAATCAGGAGGGCTTTGATGTTTAGGAAATAGGTCATTAAGGGAGACGGTCATTAAGAGAGACATGCTGTTGGGCAAAAATAAAATAAGGCAGAAGTTCTGCAATCTGGGGAACAATCTATGTTTGTTTATCCCATTTGTATGCCGCCCGTCTCATTGTCTCAAGTCCTTCATTGATTCTGCGATTTCTGTCTTTTTTTGAGGAAGAGTAGAATTTGGACAAGAAGAGATCATTTCTATCGGGTGGGAGACTATAATAAATATTATGAGATCCTGTGCCTGCCTGCCTCCCCCCCCCAAAAAAAAATCTGATTTCTAGTTATTATTAATAGCATGGATACACAGCATGTACCTCTGAATGGGCAATATGCAGGCAACAATATATTGACTTGAGATAAGTATATTGAACAGTATTTTGAATCTTTAGATAAGCGATAGTAGCTTGCACAGCCTAGTGAGATGCATGCTTGGGATAAAACTGGGTGTTGATTGTATCTGTGGCCAAAATGTGCCACAACTATTCAGGGTTGCCTTTATTATTAGCAGAGGATGCCACATATACAATAGGGCTACAAATCACGCTGATAATTGCCTTCTCTGGCTTACTACAAGTGCTGGTTGAAAGCTTTGATTGACTGGAGGCACGAGAGACAATGGCAATCAAAGTCTACAGGCTCTTTTTTTGTATGACCTTGGTATATGGAAGATTGGGAGTTGCTGTGAAGGGAGGGGGACTCACCACCCTCCAATCCTTCCGTGCTGCTTTGAAGATCTGGCTGTCCCGGCTGGCCTGGGG